ACAAATCAAAATGATTCCTGTAATCTCAGATAAAATATAATATAGAAATATACTCTCGTATTACAAATTCTAAATATTCTTTACACTGTTCTCCTATTTTCTAGCAACTCATATTCAATTATTACAATTTGTACGGCAATAGCTTAATTTTATTTGAAATATTAGATTTTAAATTTCATTTTGTAAGATTTTAATACACAAAAGATCTCATATATTAGGAAAAAAAAAAAAAAAATTGTCGCCTATAAGTATGCAATTTTACGTTTTTTACATTTCTTAAAAATTAATAAGTAAATTTCTTAAACAAGCTTAAAAAAACATTATTCTGTCGAAATTTTAATTTTTTTTTTTGACTTTTTTTTTAGTTAGAATTTAGTTTCAGTAGTCAAATGCAATATTTTTTATAATATAATTTAAGGACCTTTTCTTCTCGTATTCATTGTGCTATAAGTGCACATTCCTTTACAAGGGCTGATATTTTACCAATTGCGATTCAAAATAATTTTTGGAATAATTGCAAATATCAAATTTCTGGCAAACAACAATTAATAATATGTTTTTATTATTAATATTCTTTTCCTAATTTATTAATTTATTGTTAATGGTGCTTTGTTTGGCGAGGAATAAAAATAATTAGACAATTCCGAACATACACAAGTCAATAAATACAAAACGCAAAATATAAAAAATTTAAATTACTTCCTAAGTAATAAGAAAAATTCAAAAGGATATACAAAAAAATTTCCATTCTAGATTTAAAAAAGAAAACATAACGAAAAAAAAAAAAATTTTGCTGTTAAAAGAATTCTAAATTATTGGTAATTCTGAACTTTGAATAACATTTTCGTCTATTTATAAACTCTTGAAAGCATAAGACTAACATGAACAAAATAAAATGAGAAAAAAAACTTTAAATCAATTAATAAAATTTTTGCTTTCTAAAAAAAAAATTCGAAAATTGAAGTCCTCTTTTGTTTTCTTACTTCTACTTACTTTTTTTAAGAGAAAAATTTTACGCAAGAAGTGTTGGAACACAAAAAAAAAAAATTTCATCCAAAATATTTTTCAGAAACTTTACAATTTTTTTTTTTGTTTTTATTTATTTGTGATTTTTATTAGTTAAAACTTTTAATTATAAAAATTTTTTTAATTTTCTTAAAATAAATTTTTTTTATAAATTTTCTTAGTACCTAATTGTTTTTTTTTTTCTGCTCTCTTCTTATTTTTAATAATTTTTTTTCTATGTTTTCAATCAAATTAAAGAAAATATTAATGTTTATTTGGAAATTTGAAAAATAAGAAAAAAAAAATTTAGCAAATTCTTTTGAATTCCTTTAAAACTCAATCAATTATAAGAAAACGAAAATAAAACAAAAAAAAAAAATGAAAATAATTTTAATCTCTAGAAGGACAAAATTTATAATTTTTGAATTTTTTTCAGTAATTTTTTGTGTATATATTAAAAGATTTCCTCAATTTGAATTGAGATAAAAAAAAATTTATTTTTATTGAAAATATTTTTTGCCCCTCACTCTCCGCTATGCTACACTCAATATTATGCTATAACCACCTCGTTTATTTCTCTTAATATTGAGATTATGTAAAATTGTGAATGCAACAAATGAGAAATGAGAGAAGATAAAGTTAGAGAAAGTAGCTATATTTTTGTTTAAAAGAGCATCGTAACATTCTATCTTCCTCTTCAGATTTTGTTTTCCTTTCCCTTAAATAATCTCGTATATCGTCCGCCTTTATACCCTAAATCTTGTGATCAAAATTTCTTTTGCACATTTCTTTGAAATATTTTCGAATCGTACATATTCATTTTCCCATGACATTTCTCTTAATATTATACAATTATATTACATATATATATACATAAACACCCCCACGAAAATACTGAATTACTGTAAATGTCTTCAAAAAGAAAACAAGACGTTTAAGGTTAAAAATTGTTTGGTTCTTGTTTTTTTTTTTTACTGCTTGTTGTTATTTCCATCAAATATACCAATATAATAAGGCAATACCAATAGTCAATTATACATTCTTGTTTTCAATTGATTATTTGTTTTATTTATTTTTCCCTTTTCTTATCCATTTTCTATTTAAGTAGTTTTCAATTTTATTTTTTTTTTTTTTATTTCCTACTTCTAACAATTTTCCAATGAATGAATTTTCAAACTATATTATATATATATACGGTACAGTAGTATAATAAGAATAATAATAAAAATTGTATAACAGTATATATAACGTATAGTATAACAGTTTATGTATAGTATAACAGAACATCAGAAGCAACAAGAATATTAAATTACAAAATTCAATTGAAAGTTTTGCAATTTTTTATTTGTGTTTTTTTTCAAGGTTATAAATTTCTTTATCTACAAGTATACAGACATGTATATTTCTTGTAAATGTTATCATATTACCAATATTTTTAGATACAGTTATTGAAAGTAAATATGATATGTAAACCAGGAAAAAGAATTAAAATATTATCTATGTACATTAGAATATTTGTATGTAATTAATAGGCAAATGTTTATAATATTTACGAGCATATGTGGTAAAGTGTGAAAAAAATTTTTACAAATAAATAAATAATCAGTTAAAAATATAATGTTATAATTTTGTTATAATTGTTATAAACTAGTACAGGTTTGTAGAATTGCGCTGTAATAAAATTTCATAGCTTAAATGGTAAAATTAAATAACAAGTATAAGAAATTTTATAAACTCTATTCATCTTACTTAAATTATATTTAAACTTAAGATCTAACATTAAAAAAGAAAGAATTCTTGCATATTGCCCATAACTTCAGAACTGTTCGCCTGCCTTGGTTCGCATGGCTTCTTGACAATATTTTATTTAATTATTTTTTTTTTAATTCTAAACTAAAACTTAAATTTTAACCTCAATTATTTATAAACTATCCACAAAATATTTCAATATAATTCCTAAATTATTTCAGTATTTCCACATAACCATCCAAACGAGCTTAAATGAGCTTTTCATTCCATATTATACACAATTTGTAACGAAACCAATTTCTTATAAAAAATCAAAATTTCATGGTTTTTTGTAGCCTCTCGTTTAAACTAGCCTATATGCATATGTGCTAAAAATACTAGTGCCAAACAATTTTGTTTCTCTGGATGGTCTCTGGTTATATTATTAATATGTGGACGATGCTTTTCGAATTTTCACATTTTCGCAATTTAATTCTATATTTAAAATTTTTCATTGCATAAATTGATTCCATAATATTTCTAATTAAATTTCTAAAGTAGCTTTACAATATTATTTAATAATTTTTTATATTTTCCGTAATTACTATCATATTTACAAGACAATTACATGACATTAATTACATCAATAATTATTTAATATTAAAAGTCAATTAATCTTACAAAATACGAGTACAAAATTATTTCGTAATCATAGACATATAGAGTGTCATAAACCTAGCGTGCTCCTATAATAATTGAATTAAATTTTTTAAATGCGTCATAAATAAATTGGTGAATTAAATTGCTTATTTGTTATATTAATTAAGTATATGACAAAAACTTAATAATAATAACTAAAAAATATTTCAGACAATCTTTTGAAATTTTAACCCATACCCTATATAACTGGAAAATCTGACTATAAAAATTAATTATGAGAGAAAATATTTAAAATTAGCATTTATGATTGTATGACAGCTACACGAATCAGGACAGTTAACTTATTAAAATTTTCATAATATATATGTATATAGAATATAATTGGACATATGGTGTGCGAACCCTTTGTTCTAATTGGTTCCATTACAATAGAAATCGTTGCTGACAGAAAAAAAACAATTTGTGAAAGTTTATAGGTTGTATTTGCTTAATTGTTTGTTTCTTAGTAATCATACGATACAGGACGGACGGACAAACATCTCTAATTCAATACAAAATTCCACGCTATGCAAGAATATAATTTAAACATGTTTATAACGCAAAGAACTACTTCTAGTGGTTAAAAACTCTATACTAAAATTGATATACCCTTTACTAAGATGCAGGGTATAAAAGCAATTATTACATTATAAAATTTTTAAGCGTGCTAACAATTTTGTTTTTAATTTTTTAAATTGACTATTATGTGATTATGTCAAGTATATAGCTATTCGTTATCAGTATATAACAACAAATATCTTTATTAATCATTTAATTTCCTCTGTTAATACTACCGTATTTAGCTAGAATTTTATTGATATAATTAAAGATTATCGTAATTTAGTTTTGGGAAGATTATTTAAAATTTTATATAATTATTAATTTTTAATTATGGTTCGGGTCATTTTTTACATGGTTCCTTATTATTACTTTCTGTAAAATAAATATTTGTGGAAAATTATGTGTGTTTGATATTATAATTGATGTAATTGAGTTGTTAATGCTTATGTATAAGATGAAGCCGTTTATAAAATTTAATTAGAAGTTTAATTGAATAATCTATTTCAGGTCAAAAATCATTTTATTTTTAAATGAAATTGTTTACAATATTTCGTAATTTATCGTAAAAATTGCATATGAATTCTGGGAAAAATTTTAAAATTATTGCTTAAAATTTTACATCACATTCTTTACCGTATCTATATACCGTAATTTTCTTAAAATTCAAATTATTTATTTAAAATTATTACTTGAGCACCATTTTAAATTTATGAGTCAGTCACATGAAATTTCTCTAAAATGAGCGCCTCATTTATAAAATTAGTTTTAAAATTTTCTCTCTCAATTTACTCTTTAAACGGAAATTTAATAGTGAATTCTGTTATAATTCTGGTATAATCCAGATTTATTGAAATCAAATTCTATTTATTGAACTATTCTTCAAACCAATGAAATTTAATTACAATACCGTTTACAATACCGTTATAATTTAATTAAATTATTAATACAAAATAATTTTTATTTATTAATTATATTAAAATTTTTTCCTTGTATATCCATTTTCACAGGACCGGTCAATGTCAGACATCATCGAATGATAAGAGATATTTATATGGATTTAGAAAATAATAGACCAACAGCATCATCACAAAATGATACACAACAAGATGGTAAATTATTTTTATTATAAATTTTCTCTGTTATCCTTTTATTATTAATGTATAAATAATTTAAATATATCCTGTTCCTGTTTAATAAAATTTAATAAATAATTATTATTTTTTTCTTTTTGTGTTCCCCCTTCCCTTTTTATGAATATATAGGCACTTGTTTATTGGATGGAATAATAACAAAACGAGCAACTATTCATTGTGAAACAAAACCAGGATGTAAAGCAATACAGAAAACAGGATATTGTTGTCCTGAATATCAATGTGGTAATTATCAATTTTTTTCTCCTTTTAATTACATATTATTAAAATAAAAAGGAAGAATGTAAAACAAAAAAAAAATAATTTTAATTTATTCAGATTTATTTTTATAATAGAAAGGATCAATCAATTTATTAATTTATGAATTTATTAAGAAGTAATTAAATATTTATTTCCTCGAAGCCTCAAAAAATATTTTAACACATTTTTAATTTTTACATTTCGAGTAATTATTTTTTATTTCCATAACTTATACTCGATTTCATTGTTCATATGGCTTTCTCGTTTTCGGGTAGTTGTTAATATAACAATAAGCATTACGAGATATTGTTCCCATCACCAGGAAATAAATTTTATTATTGAAATTTCTAAAGATTTCCAGAAAAATCTTAAGTAATATTTACCGTGCTCTTATAGTTATCCCCTCTTCTATTAAGAATAACGTATTATATAATAATATTTTCTCAATTTAAAATACGAGATTTCTTTAAGCAATATTTAAATTTAAGCCTAAAACAGTTCCTTATGCTACGAATAATATCAACCCTTATTGATTTCTTACAAAAATTATTTAATTTTAATAAGTAATGGTTTTATTCCTGTAATCCGAGATTATTTTGCCATCGTCTTTTAATTAGCTCATTTAAACATAGTTGCATACACTATACTTGCTTGAATAATAACGTTTCTTACTAAAATTTATTTAAAAGTAATAAAATTCAAAAATTCAATTTATTTAAAAAAAATATATATTTTTGATAATTTACTAACAGAGCTTTCTTATTTACTTACAGAATGTGAAAAAGATGGAAAATTGTATTCAAATGGTGAAACATTACCGGATCAATATCAAACACCTTGTAAAGTTTGCTTTTGTAAAGGTAAGAAGAGTGAGCTCATTAAAAAATATTTTTTTTAATTTTTAAAAATTTTGTCCTATTTTTATTGTTTTCAACCTTCCGGGCCTGTCCTCCTTCTCCTCCTCCTAATCCTCCTACTCATCCTCATCCTCCTACTCCTCCTACTTATCTACTCCTATTGAATTTAAATGTTAATTTTATATTGCAAACACAAATATTTTTATACTTTGTTGAAAATGAATTGGACAATTTGTTTTCATCTGAAGAATTCAAGCATAAAGAATTTTGAAAATCAATAAAAAGCAAAATAGGGTCATCTTTTTCAATCCCAATTTGCCTTTTTGAAATTTATTCTTAAAAATAAGGGAAAAAAATAAAAATTTTCACGTTCTTTTTAAAGCAAATTTTCGTAAAAATCAAAAAATTTAATTTTCTACATTTTCAGGTGGAGAAATCGTTTGTACAAATGTAACATGTTATAAAAGAGATGATTGTGAACCAAAATATATACCTGGAAGATGTTGTCCTGAATATGATAACTGTCCACCACTTGGTATGTACATATTCGCACTAAATTCCACTTACTAAAATTTCATTAATCTTTTATTTAAAATTTTTAACAATTTTTAGAAATTGGTAAAGCTACTACATCAAAAATAGTTACAGGAATTCCACATAATATTGAAACAACAGATAATTCATTACAAAAAGTTGATCAAACATCGGCTGCATCAATAAAGCATCCTCTTACAGTACATTCACAGCAAACAAATGAAATGCCATTACATAATCCATTAAATATAACAATAAAAGAAATAACAAAAGTTGAAGAAATTCGTATAACAGATGCACCAAAATCAACAATATTACAAGTACATACAACACCAAATCCATTAAGTAATGGTGTAACAAATCATAAAAATGGTGGTATTTCATCAACATCAACACATGTTAATACATCATTAAAAGATTCTCAGCAACAATCACTTAATTCAATTGAAGGTAAAACAATTGAAGATGAAATTATTTCACCTGTAGCCGTTTCTATACCATCAACAGGTGAATCACAATTATTAAATCCTGAGAATACAAAATTAACACTAGTCGAAACCAAAACCATTTTATTCCCATATAACAATAATGATAAAATTTCAACAACAATAATTCCACCATCACCATCATATTCACCAAATTCAATTCATACAACAGAGACAAATAAGGTTTTAATCTCGGATAATAATTTATTGAATGGTGAAGAAAGTATAAAAATTGTACGACATGCATCTGTACCAACAAATGCTAATGGTGAAAATAATATTGTACAAATAAGTCATAAAACAAATGAAAAAGGTTTATTAGCTGGTGATTTAAGTAATGAACAAATTGGTGAACAAGTTGTTATTTTTGATAAAAATGGTGAATCAAAACCAATAACAGTATTTGGTATAAAAGGTTTACAACGTGGTGATGTTATTGAAGATCCAAGTTTATCAGCAAATAGTAATAGATTTGATGATAATGTTGCAAAAAAGAAGAACAAAACTAAGGGTTCATCATCAAAAGAATATGATTCAAATGAAAGTGGTGACATTGATCCAATACAAGCATCAAGTAGTGATGATTTTGTTCGTGTTGTTATTGGTTCTACAACTGAAAATATTAATGATATTAGTAATTCTAGTGAAGAATATAATTTTACAAGAGCAGGAGAAGATGAAATTTACGAGCCAGTATTATATGAAGGTAATTTTTTTGTTTAATTCCAGCTAAAATGATTTCTAATTAAATATTATTTTTTTAGCTTTTGATTCATCATCCGTATCACCTTCAGTATCTAATAGTAGTGAAGAAACATTCGAACCAGTACATTATACTCCAGAACCAGGTGAAATTTTTGATTCAATTCATTATACACCAGAACCAGAAGCTGGTGAAAATCAATCGAATGAGACAAGTGATGAAACAAAAATTTATGATACTGTTTATCATACAAATGATGAAGAAAAAGTTTATGAAACAGTATATCATGATTTAGAAAACGATACAATATCAACAAATGGTCCAGAAAATGTATCATCTGAACCATTCCCATTTGAAGCTGAAGATGAAGATGTTAATCCAGCATATCCTAAAATACCAGAAGATTTAAGTATACATCATAAAATTAATGGAGCAGCTGATTATTTAGAGGGTAATACAGAAACAAAATCACTTGTATCACATAATGGAGCAACAATTAAAGAAGAACCACGTAGTGTTATTGATTCAATACATATTATTGAAGATACATCAATACTATCTGATAAATTAAAATCACATAATAATAATAATAATAATAATAATAATAATATAAAATCACATGATAATTATGATAATTTAATAAATTTAGAAAATGATACATCATTTAATGATATTATACCATTATCAATAAATCCGGAACCAAGAGTACCTGGTGAACCATGTCTTATACCAGAATGGGAACGTATTAATGGTACAAACCATGAATCAAGATGTAATCATACACAATCATTAATTGATTCATCAATTGAAGATTATCCAGCTATGGGTTTAACATTATTAAAAGGTAATGATAGTTGGCCAACAAGTTCAGAAATGGATTTAGAATATGGTAGCGGTAGTGGTATGGGTAGTATTATTAATTTATCATCAGCAAATTTAATAAATAATCGTGAACCAACAACAAGAAATCCAAATAAAATAATTGATATTGATGATTTTGATGGCGGTAGCGGTAACAATATTAATATTAATAGTAATGATACAAATTCAATAATTAATGATCCAAAAAATGATGCAGAAAGTTTAAAATTAGATGATGATGATAATAATCATGGAAGTGGTGTAAGCGGTATTAGTGGTATTGGTATTGCTGAAGAAATTAATAAAAAATCAGCAAAATCATTTTATGGTTTTGATAGTTTTATATTTTATTAAGAATCTTATTGTAATAAAAAAAACAAAAAAAATTAATTTAAAATATGAAAGAAAATAAGAAATGAAAGAACGATAACAAATGAAGATTATATAATATTTAAATTAATTAGTTTAAAACGCCATCATTTATGATATAATTAATTAATTATTATTATTATTACTATTAAAAATTTAAAAAGAAAAAAAAATATTTAAAAAATTCATTAAAAAAAAAAAAAAAATTAATTAATTAATTAATTATTATTATATTATTCTATATATTATATTGTTTCGAAAATAAAATCATTATTAAGATTAAAATATGTAATGTTAAGCTCGTTATTTAAAAAATAAAATGAAAAATTTAAAAATTTAAAAATTTAGATAATAATTCATAATCATTTATAATATTTAAAAACATTATAAAAATTTAAAAAATAAAACAAAAGTATTGACATTTAGAATTTTTGACATTTAAATATATTTGACATTTATATTTGACATATTATATTGACATTTTTAAAGATATCTTATACTTTTAATTTTATTTATTTTTAAAAAATTAAAATTTTATTAATTTAATTTACTTATAAATAATTTGATTATTTTATTAAATTCTTGCAAAAAAATTATAAAATGAAATAAAAAATTTTATTTTATTAAAAATTTAAATTCATTGTTTTTAAAAATAATTGTTATACTGCTTTATTATTTATTTTAATTTATATTAAATTATGAGCATTTCTGAAAATGCATTTCTTAAATTATAGAATTGCAAAGCTACCAACATTTAAATGTACAAATTAAATTTAGAACTTTGAAAATTAGTTCTAACCGTAAGAATTGCATTTTCAAAAATACTCAAATTTTAATATTTTCTAATTTAATTTCAAAAAAATAATTGTAATTATTTTATTAAAACAAAACTTGTACTTTATAAGAAACACTTTTAATTAAGATTAATTTTTCTTTTTTTTTTTTAAAGTATAACACAAAAATTTGTTGTTGCCTTGTCAAAAAAATAATTGTTAAAAATGTCAAAAATTATAATAATTAGAAAATTATAATTTTTTTTTTTTTTAATTATGTATACAATATATATATATATATTTACGTACAATAATAATAAAATAAATTTATTTACAGAGCTTTGTATACTTGTAATTCTTTCAACATTTTCTATATTTTCTATTCCGTACCAGTAACTTGCCCATAAAGGGAAATTTAATTGTGAATTTAAATTTGTTTTGGAAACAGTATTCTTTCATTTGTTTGAAGAATAGTTACAGAAATAGAAAATAATAATGCTGAAGAATTACAAATATATAAAGAGTAATTCATTTATAGTATTGATGTTTTGAAAAAAAAAATTAAAAAAAAAAATCAAATGAATCAATTTTTTAAAATATTTTTAAAAAAAATTAAGATTAAAGAACAATTGTTACAATTAAATAAGCTAGTAGCATATTGAATACTACTAAATATAACCTTAATCCCAAAATATTTGGAAGTCGTCTAACAAAATGCAAACTTTCTTTAAGTCAATTTTATATTCTATTTCTTTTTTACTAAGCAGTTTTTGGTAAACAAAATTACTTTGTAAAGTTAGAATCTGCTTATTTGTAATAAACAATAGAAAATGTTAATGCTTTTATTGGAAATAATTAAGAAATCCCTACAATATTCAATATTTTAAAAAAATAAAGCAGAATAATATAAAACTTACAAATATTAACTGAAATATTAAAAATTTATTTTGTTGAAATAATTTCGAAATTGATTCGAATTTGATTTTATTCTTGGTTAACTTTGACTCTGTTCTAGTAAATACTACCAAAATCAATTCGTATTTCAGTAAATTGTAACAAAATTAAAATAAAATCTAGTAAAAAAACCAAATTTTTAATTTGGTAGACGAACATATTTTGATCAAATATAAATAAAATTAATTAATATTGTTTTAATACTTAAATGTAAAGTTTTAAAAATTAAAATATTTTCTATAAAACAAAAATTATTTAATAAATACTTTGAAAAGTAGAATCTTAAATCTTAAATCTTTATTGTACAAATAAAGTTTTAAATTATTAAAAATTTATTTAAATTCTTAAAGGTTTTACATTTAATTTTTATATTTAAAAAAATCTTTCAAAACATCTCGAATCAGATTACAGAGTGTACAAGTAACAAGTGTACAATTAAAAAAATCTTAAATAAATTCATTTGATTTTTTATTTTTCAATTACATTATTATTAGTTATTAATAATATAATTTCATTATAATAAAAAAAAATACATTAAAATAAATTTTAAAATTATAAAAAAATATTTAATAAAAATAACAAAATATATATATAAATAAATATTATAAAAAAAAAAAACAAATTCTTATATTAAAATATGATTAAGTCGTGCCACAAGACTTTTTTTTTTTTTTTTTTAATTTTAAGCAACAAAAAAAAAATCAAATTTATTATTATTAAAAAATAAAAAAAAACTAGACAAAAAAAAAAAATTCATAAATTTATAGAAAATTTATTAACAATAAAAATAGTATAATTTAAATTTATATTACTACATGATATGCGATATTACATACATAAATACATACATTAAAATATATTTAAAATTAATTTTATGTAAAATAAAATTTTAATTATCACAGAGCCCTAATATTTGCATCAATCACTTTTCATTCATAATCAATTAATTAATTAAAAAATAAAGTAAACAGCCTGCTTTGCGCTAAGATTTAATAAGAAAACCGTAATGGATTATAGTAATTAATGAAGAAATGCTGTTTTAAAACATTGAAAAATAAAATTAAATATAAAAGTAAAAATGATTGGTGTAGTAGAGCCAAGGTCTTACATTCTATCTGAAAATTTTAAATGATGCTGTTAGTAATTTATTACAAAATTTCTAATAATTTAATATCATAAAATTTTATTTAATAATTTCACTTATTTTATTGTTTTTATATCTTAAAATCATAATTAATTTAATATAAATTTATATTAACATTAATTCTGTTGTAAAAGAAACTTTCTCAAATGTATAGTGTAAATTTTTTAGTCTTTTCTTTTTTGAATTCAGTAGGTTTTGTGTAAATTTATATTAAAATTTTAATAAATATTTCAAGTCATTAAATAAAAGGACAATGAAATATTTATTGAATTAAATTAAAAAAAATATATAAAAATATATTAAAAATGGATAAGTAAAAATATTTAAGAGAGAAAATTAAATTCATCTTCAAGATCAGGTTTTTTACATTTAAAATCAATTGTTTTTAATAAAATTTGGATCGACTTTTATATAAAATTTAAAATGTTTTTAATAAATTACTCAACTATATATTAATACTATTTATTTCCAAGTAGTAAATTACTCAATAATTTACCTTTTTTTCTAAATTATTAATAAATAGCCGAACAAGACTTAAATTTGTTTCAAAATCTACTGCAACAAATATGAAATTTTTATTCTAAATATTCTGAAATTTTTAAAATGTGTATGGAAAAACATATTGCATTACATACATGAATTTGCAAATTTTAATTACTTAAATAAAATAATTTTACTATAATAACGATAATAAAATATTAATTACATAAAATTAATTTTACTTTTACTATTTAAATAAACAATTAATTTCTGTTTTAATTATACAATTTAATTAATAATTTAAAATAAAAAAAAAAAAATTGAAGAAATTAAATAAAATAATTTTTAGAATTAATTAATAATTATTTTCTCTTTATAATTTTTTTGTCCTTGTTTTCAAAATTCAAGTAAATTAGAAGAAAAAAAAAATAATTTCTTTTTTTTTTTTATTAGAATTATTATCTACTTTTAAAAATTATATTGAAGACCAGAATTAATTATAATTAATTGAAACAAACAAAAAAAAGAAAAGGAAAAGAATAATTGAACAACAAAAAATGTAATTTATTTATTGATATTAAATAAAAATAATTAAAAAAAAAAAAAAACTTACAAAAACAAAAACCTTGAAATATTGACTATTTTTTTAATCAAATAAATTTGTTAAATTCTAAAAATATTAATTTTATTGCAACATATTAGCAAGAGGTATGCAATGTTAAAGTAATGAATTATTTTAGTTTTAAAAGTAGAAAAAAAAATTTAAAATTCGAGAGTAAAATATGAAAAATTTGCTTTTTTAATTTAATATTTGCATTTCAATTCAATTGGAAATATTAAATTTTGTAAATTAGAAAATATTCTAATACACAATTTGGCAAAAAATAAATTTTTAATGCCTAACAAATTTCGATCAATATTAGAATTCGATATTTCAAAAAAAATTTTCGGTATTTGCTATTAATTGTAAGAGCATTGCAATGAATATTTTGTTAAAAAATTTTAATTAAGCTGATAACTTTTTGCGTTAGAGCTCAAATATTATAGGGAGTAAAATTACATACTCATAGGGAATTGTAGCAAAAATATTGTATGTATATTCAATATCACATGTACTTTGTGTTATAAATTTAATTACAGACGAATACAGTGTGTTATTTGCTCTGTTTTTCAATTTAAAAAAAAAATACAACAAAAATGCAACATTCTTATATTTCGGTATAGAAAAATTTTTAAATACAATAATTTTTCATCCAATTCATACATCATAATTACTTTCTTTATAGAAAATTACAATTTTAATGGAATATCTTCAAGAACGTTATTAGAAATTTTATTAAAACTCTTGATGCTATGGAAAGAGTAAACTAAACTTTTTCATAATTCAAAATTTCAGAAATTATAAAATATGTAATTATTTTATATTAAATAATTCTATTCTATTTCTCCTCCAATCCCCTAACCCTATATAAAATGCTACCCTAATTCAATGCTCGATATATAAAATTCTTTGTGTACATATTATATGGAAATAGCCGAGAAAAGTTATGCCTGCAATATCTAAAGCACATGGTGCCTATGATATAAGTTGTTTATGACCTACTGCACAAATAGTATTGAATTATTTAAAAAGTGAATAATTTAAAAATAAGTAGAAGCAATTAAACCAGAAATGAATAGATCATTAAGAGAGTACAAATAACGACCAAATATGCTGACTATAAGTGATTCTTGACTTTTACAAATAAACTCCATTTATAAGAACTAAAATAAAATTGTAATAGGCCTTGCCACAACATTAGAAACCGAAAAGAAAAAAAACTTTATTAAAATTCAATATCCGGATTCTTATTCAATAAAAATAAATTCTAAATACATCCTTGTATTTAACCAACAATTAAATTAAATAATTTATAAAAAAATTTATTGAAATGCAAAAATTTAAAATGAAATCGCATATTTTGTACTCCTTACCATACAATATAGAAACAAAAAATTAAATTAATAGCTTAAAAAAATATAATGATAACAACTAATCAAATTAATCACCAAAAAAAATAAAGTTGGGCCAAACCAATGGTTTGTATTGTAGCACTTTTTCCTTCAGCAAGTGAAAATTCTGCTAATACAGTCTACGTATATCTACCACACTATTAAAATTATTTTCATTCATATACGAAACTATTTCTAGGATTGCATATATTTAGGATGAACTATTTATGCAGTCTTTGAAATAGAGCAAAAATTAATATAAAGTGGGGTTCACATAATGCTCGATTTTAAGGGTTAATTGTGTGAGTTAAGAAAAATAATTAT